CTGAAGGTCCGCAACTGCCCGCCCAGTTATCTCATAGCATAATTTAATTGATTTGATTTCTCTCTCTCGATCACATACATATATCGCCCCTCTTCTCTATCTAGTTTAATTAGTTTCAATGGGTGGTGTTTCGTTTGACGGAGGAAGTCCTCCACCTTCGTACCCCGGCAAACTCACACCCTATGTTCTCCTAACTGTTTTGGCCGGAGCCGCCGGTGGTTTGATTTTTGGCTACGATCTTGGTATATCTGGTACGTATATATATACCTCCTACTTATAATCCTTATGAATTACTATCTATCTATATATATATGATATATTCTTATGAATTATTTTGACACCAATCTGTCTTTCTTGAATTATTAGGTGGGGTGACTTCTATGGCGCCTTTCTTGGAAAAGTTCTTCCCCGACGTTTACGAGAGGCAACAATCGATCACGTCGACCAACCAGTACTGCAAGTTTAACAGCCCTACACTCCAATTGTTCACATCCTCCTTGTACTTGGCTGCCCTCTTCGCCTCCTTAGCCGCGGGGGAGGTCACCAAGAAATTCGGCCGTCGTATATCCATGATGATGGCCGGATTTATCTTCTTGTTCGGCGCCGCCCTCAACGCCGGTGCTGTCCATCTATCCATGCTCATCTTGGGCCGTATTCTACTTGGCATCGGCATTGGCTTTGCTAATCAGGTATTTTATTTTTTTATTTATTTTTCTCTGTTTTTAAATATGGTTATGCATGATATTTAATTTACTAAACCCAATTAATTTCTTGAATTAACGTGTGCAGTCGGTGCCTTTGTATCTTTCCGAGATGTCTCCGTACAACTACCGTGGAAGGTTCAACATTTGTTTCCAGTTGATGATCACAATTGGGATACTATGCGCCAATTTGATCAACTTCGGGACGGCCAAGATTAGCGGCGGCTGGGGGTGGCGCCTGAGCTTGGGCCTTGCCGGAGTCCCCGCCGTGATAATCCTCATCGCTTCCTTCTTCCTCTCCGACACACCCAACTCCATGGTCCAAAGAGGGAGGGAGATTGAAGCCAAAGCCCTTCTGAAGCGCATACGTGGCGTTGATGACGTGGACGCCGAATTCAACGACATGCTGGCGGCCAAGAACGAAGCAGACCTCGTGGAGAGTCCGTGGAGGAATCTTTTTGGAACAAAGTGCTACAGACCCCAACTTGCCATGTCCATTCTCATCCCTTTCTTCCAGCAGTTCACCGGAATCAACGTCATCATGTTCTACGCTCCAGTGCTCTTCCAGAGCCTCGGTTTCGGTTCGGACGCCTCACTTATCTCGTCAGTGATCACCGGCGTTGTCAACATGTTTGCCACCGGAGTGTCAATCTATGGATCCGATCGGTGGGGGAGGAGGAGCCTCTTCCTCGAAGGCGGCGTGCAAATGTTCATTTTCCAGTCACTCATAGCGGGGCTAATCGGGTGGAGATTCGGGGTGTCGGGAAACGTGACGGATATACCCTTTTGGTTCGCCGCTGTGGTGGTCGTGTGCATATGCGTGTACGTAATGGGGTTCGCGTGGTCGTGGGGACCGCTGGGGTGGCTGTACCCGAGCGAGATATTCCCTCTCGAGGTCAGGTCGGCTGCACAGAGCATAACGGTGGCCGTCAACATGGCCTTCACATTCATAGTCGGGCAATGCTTCCTCACAATGCTCTGCTCAATGAAGTACGGTCTATTCATATTCTTTGCATTCTTCGTGGCGGTGATGACATTGTTCTGCTATTTCTTCATGCCGGAGACAAAGAATATTCCGATCGAGGAGATGACGCAGGTCTGGAGGAGCCATTGGTTCTGGAAGAGGTTTATGAATGAGCCAAATGACCCTGTCAATAAGGCCATCGCCATGAGCAAATTGAGAGACCGAGTTTGATATATCTAGGGAACGTACTCTTGCGTTTTATTTTTCTATTATTGCTAATTCCTGCTTTTGTATATAAATATTTAGACGTAGATAGTTTAATTAGTTGGAGGAGGAACCAAACATATTATCGTTTCTCAATATATATATATATATTTTTATTCTTCAATATATGACATTTTTTCATGTTTTGTTTTTTGGGGTTTTATGCAAAAGTCCCCAACCAAGCATGTTTATTATTCTAGGTGATATATCTCTTTCACCAATAAGTAGGGGTGAAAATCGGACGGAATGGATCGGAAATAGCTTTTTCGGAAAATTTCCAATTTTTTTCGGAAGTAAAAAATGGGTTCCAAATTTCGGAATGCCTCGGAATCAGCGGAATTTCGGAAATTTCGGAAATTACATTAATTTATAATTTATGCTCCAAATTCGGAAATTACATTAGTTTTCACAATATTTTTCTATCTTTTTTGAAATTTTGCAAGAAAATCCAAAAGAGAATTCGAGAAAACGCAATAATAAAAATACATGTAGGAACAACAAATTGAAAATTTGAAACATAGATTTTCTTATAAGTAAAAATGCAACACAAAGTTTCTTATACCAATTAATTTTTAAATATAATGTTTTAATTTACTTGATCCTTCGTTATTTATATTTTCCATATAAAATATAACATAAGTTCTATTATGGAATTACAAAATATATCATAAAACTACATTATATATTTCGAAAAACCATTAAAATATTCGGAACTAAAATCATATTGGAAATCGGAATTTCCGAAAATTTTAAATATCATTCCAATTCCGTTCCAATTAAATTCGGAAGAATCGGAAATCGGAACTTCGGAAATCGGAAAGAAAAATGCGGTTCCAAATTTGGATATTTTCGGATCGGAATTGGCGGAATTCGGAAATTTCATTCCAATTTTCACCCCTACAATAAGCCTATCCCTTTAATATTTATTATGACTAAAGGAAACATTCATGTATATCCCAATATTACCCTCAACCATTTATACCCAATTCTTAATTGTACCACAATTTATCAATTCTATCCACAAAAATTCAATTTAATCTCAATTTGACCCCCAAATTTCAGAAATTACTCAATTTTGACCCAAATGTTTTCAAAATTTTTTTTTGCCTCCGAATTCCGGCATTGACTTTTCAACTTTTTTTTTTATTCCGGATTTTTTCGCTTGTTTCCGGCGTTGACTTTTTTATTTTTTCTTTTCTTCCGGATTTTTTCGCCGGTTTCCGGCGGTCTCCGGCGTTGACTCTTTTTAGTGTTTTTTTAATTTTTTTTTTTTTTTTTTATTGTTTTTCCACGTCCGCCGCTAAACGTTGACCGTAATTGTGCTGTCACTGACAGTAAATTAACGTAATTATACTGTCAATGATAGTTAATTAACGTAATTGTACTGCCGTTGACATTACATTTATGTAATTGTGCTGCCGTTGATAGTAAATTAATGTAATATTATTATTTTTTATTTTTTTTTATTTTTTTTATTTTCTTTGATTTGTTGACAAGTCAACGTAATTATATTACTGTCGTTGACAGTAAAATAACTGTAAATGCAATAATATTACTGTCAACAACATCAATATTATTTTTTTTTGGGATTTTTGTTTTGTTTGAGTTATTCACGGAGTAACGTAATAATATTACTGTCTATTATTGTAATATTACTGTAAAACACAATAATATTATTGTGGTTGACTGTAATCTTATTGTTGGTATAGTAATATTGCTGTCAACCACATCAATATTATTATTTTGTTCGGATTTTTTATTTGTTTGAGTTATTCACGGAGTAACATAATAATATTACTGTCTATTATTGTAATATATCTGTGGTTGACGGTAATATTACTGTTGCTATAGTAATATTACTGTCGCTCACACTAATATTAATTCTTTTGGTTTTTTTTTATTATGTTTACATTTGTTGAACGGTCAACATTGTAATATTACTTTATTACACGATAATAATGAGTTTTGTTGTGTTAATATTAACTAATAACTAGGGGTGAAAGTCGGATGGATCGGATCGGAATTAGCCTTTTCAGAAAATTTCCAAAAAAATTCGGAAGTACAAAATCAATTCCAATTCCAATTCCAAAAATTTCGGAATCTAAAAATTCATTCCAATTCCAAAAGGCCCGGAAATTTCGGAATTTCGGAAAAAAATCGGAAATCACATAAGCTTTAAAATTTCAAAACTTAGCCGAAAATTTCTATAATGTTCATAATTTTTCAAAAATAAGAAAATTCACGTCGATAAAAGTAAAACTAATAACTACTAAAATTCAGTTCAAAAAAATAAATAAAAATAAACACAACGTAATATCTAATAAAACTTCAAATAACAATTTATTATGTCAAAATCCAAAAACAAAACTTATAGGTGTATTTTTCGGAAAATAAGTATTATATAATATATATTATTTATAGGTGTATTTTTCGGAAAAAAATCGGATTTTTTCGGAATTAAATCGGATCGGAAATCGGAAATTCCAAATTTATTTTATATAATTCCAATTCCAATCCAAAAAAATCGGAAAAATTCGGAAATCGGAATTTCGGAAGTCGGAATGAAAAAAGTTGTTCCAAAATCGGAATTTTTAGGATCGGAATCGGTGAAAATTGGAAATTCCGTTCCAACTTGCACCCCTACTAATAACCATACCCGTGCGCTGCACGGGTGGCATTGCAAAACGGAAGAAAATAATTATTCAAATACATGACAATAAAAATTATAATAAAAAAAATTA